CTGCTCATATCATATCAAGGTACTCACATAACTTTCTTGTTTTGTTTATATACATGAGTAAAAATTGACTAGACATTTGTATAAAATCGATTTAAGATAAAGTACATTCGGAAATAATAATAGTGTTGTCAATAAAATACAATCAGATGGGAAATAAGATGTTTTTATAGTAAAATAAATAACTTATTAGTATGTTATAATGTTGACTGAAATACTTTCTAACATTATTTATTATCCTCTGATCTGGCTGGTAATGATGTCTTCCATATCTCTGGTATTTGCGTTGAGTCACTTCTACTGCATCTGTTGGGTGAAGGACTCGATGATAGCACTAATATTGTTTCCGAATGTACTTCTTCTTCCATTCTGTTTCACGCATGCCTTGTATTGATTTTATTCAAATGTCTAATCAATTTCCACTCATGTACATAAACGAAGCAAGAGAGTTGTGTGAGGAGTACCTTGATATGATTACAAGTAATAAATTGTACTCAAAACATGTTATCAGTAAACACTGCGTGACTACTTTATCAAAATAAAATTTTATCTATAGTGGAATAATGAACAATGTAAGAAAGCGTCTGAACTAGCTTTCTTTTGAACACACATAATTTAGTTATCTTCAGGTGGATTCCAACAGCTACAACTATACATAAAAGCCGAACTCGTAAGACGAAATTACGATTCATCAGAATACGGCAGGTAACTTTAAATGCATTGTGAAACATGGACTTTATGCTAAATATCTACAGGATGAGCTAAAATCGAGCTACGAATAAACCTTGTTTGTTCCTTGTTTAACCACACAGGATGATGTTCAGAAATCCGATGATAGAAAGAAGTAATTACATATGTGTATGCATGGATATATGCAACATAGGCGTCCATCTGCTTGTTACCATGATGTCTAAACTAGGAGTTGTAATGGACAACTTTTGACATCAGATAATTCCAGATGGCTTGAATAATTTTGTTTAATATGGCAGAATAAACTATTGAAAATTTAATTTAATTTTAGATTTTCCCGTCCACTGATTGGACCGAAGTGCTCGATCTCAAGTCGACATGTCTGTCGGCTTCTTGTGCAGATGCTTCGACGATGTCTGGGCATTTAGTTAATATTTAATTGGTAGATGGTGACTAGCAGTGGAATCCAGGATGCGCATTTCGTCCTATTTGTGACTCATCATCTGCAGGTACCTGCATTTCTCAGTAAGTGATGATGTTCCCACCGAGACTCGAACCCGGTGCCCATAGTTTCAAACGCCAAAGCGTTATCCACTAGACTATACTTGGGCCACGAGAGCCACCTGTTGTGCAAAGGGTTATATTAATTTATTTGAATTTTAGATTTTCCCATCGATAGATTGGACCAAAGTGCTCGGTCTCAGGTTGGAATCCAGATGACGAGTCCCAAATAGGGCGAAATGCGCATCCTGGATTCCACTGCTAGTCACCATCTACCAATTAAATATAAACTATTGAAAATTTAAAATGTCATGCTCAAAAAGTTCATGACTTTACTTCAACTCACTATGTCACTTACTAAAACTCTGGACACATTAATTTATATTCAGAGATGCAGATATCAAGCAAATTGATGTTATCCAGCTTATGCTTAATCAGAGAAACGCCGACGAATTGAAACCAGAAGTCTACAATCTTTACCTTTGTTAAGGATATATTCGTGATAAAAAAAGGAGTTTTTGAAATTGCCAATGTTTATTTAATAACTGTAACTTGGTAATCAATTTCACTCTCCACACTTTGAGATTAATTACCTTTATAAAGTTTACACGTTATGTCTAGCTGATAGAAGTCTGTCTATGCAAACATATACAGTTTGATGTCCATGAGTCACAAATAGAGTACAATTGCTCTTCCATAATCAAATCGGATGATCAACAGTTCAAATGTATTCTGGCAACAATTCTGACTATGATCTAACTTCAGTTAGAGAACCATTGGAAAACGAGGAAGTATTGGACAACTGTTTCGTCCTTCCTCTTTGGGATGCTTCATCAGTACGCACCTTTGACCCCACCATGGATCGAACCCAGGACCCTGAAGGTTACAAGGCGAGTGTTTGTTAACCATTTCAGTTACTGTGATGGAATCTAATGGTCTATCGATTATAACCCTCATCAATTTGCGATAGCATTAACAGCTTTGCATTATTAGATAAAATTAAGAAAAATTATATTTCCCAAGTATGCAATGAGTCCTAATTTGATGTTAAGTGGTTGGAAACAATCGGCAGGAAGCTCTGGTCCTAAGATTAATGCTTGATGGCACTCGTCAGTAAAGTGTACCCTTCAACTTTGAAGGAAATGACAAGCGAGTAAAAAGTGTTACTGTTGCTACTTAACAACTAAATATACAGAAATGTTTTACTCAAACATATATACACAACTAGTATGAACTTACTTTCCGTGTAAATGAACTTGCATAACATGCTTTGCTAGAGTGGTATCACGTTGGACATCATGTTCATCGCGTATAATAAAAATCATATCGAAACGTGATAAAATTGTTGGCATAAAATCAATATTATCTTCACCCTTTGTATTATCCCAACGACCATAAACACTATTAGCAGCAGCTAATACAGAACAACGACTATTTAGTGTTGTTGTAATTCCAGCCTAAAGAAAGATATCAAAAAGAAAATTAGTGAAATATTTGTTAGTTGTCTTCTCTAATTTTTACAGATTCAAACGTATTTGTAATGCATATCACCGTATATTAACTGAGTGAAGGGAGTGTATGGGCGGTTGTTACTTCCCGGTTGTGTTATGGCAGAGCCCAGGAAACATCTGCTTGAGACCAGTCAAAGATGGCTTGTTTGAAGTGGTTTTTGAAGGTGTGTCTGTATTACCTTTTTACTACCACAAGGTAAGTCGAGGTGCACAATTATCGGGGTCAGTCTTTTCTACCCCACCCCATTCTCCAGGGTTAAGAGGCAATATATCTAGCTTGGCTGTCATCTGAGAGGAACACCTTATTACAGTCATATACGACTTTGTTAACAGACTTCCAACTTAGTATGGCCAACTTATACTATTATGGTAACGGCTTTTCGTTTAACTGCTATTTAAATGACTTTACAGGTATGTTAAGGACCTGCGGGGACATTCGTTCCAGTCAGTGTACCTCGTTTAGTCACTGTGATATGCAGGCTCAATCGCCACATCAAGGTAACGGCTATCGGTCGGAATCTCAGCATATTACCTTTCAGATAGCATTGTTCCTAATTTGTATGTCATATTTAGATATGCTTCTACTGAAATGTGGCCATTACAACATATCTCGTAGACGACTACAACAGAAAAATCCATTTCTACTTACTGGTTGGTGTATTTACTAATGTAATATTTTTTTCTCGAATATATATTTAATTAGGTATATTAGTAGTTATCAGACATTCAATCTGAAAATGGTAATTTGACATTATGCTAAGTAAAGTAATTTTAGTATGTTTTTAACGATTTAGCAGTACGACACTAATTGTCATCCTAGGCAAAATCATGTCAGCTTTAGGAGGAAAAAAACAGCTGAATAGTGAAACAAAATGTGATTTTAGCAATTCGTTCTTTAAGATAAAAATTTATCGGCATGTTTCGAGGTAACAATGACAAAAGATGAGGAACCCAAATCATACTGTCTCCCCTCCCACCCCCCACCCCCAACACCAATTAACATTTCTGATAGTATATCTAAAGTGTTATATGATTTCAGCCTTAAGGAGATGGAATAAAATGAAATCGTTCAGTAAGGAGGTAAATTTCAATCGATGAGTTTGTGAAGCTGTATCGATTGAGATGACTACGATACGTGACATACATGCTTAAACTATCTAATTTCCGCGTCAATCAATGCTGGCTAGTATAGGATTAGGAAGGAAAAGAAATATAAGTGTTCGGATGAACACTTAACATTTATCCACGAAGTCTTAGACTATTGAGTCAGCCATAAGTGTACACTGCCTGGTTGGGCACTCTGATATGCTGGAGCATACTGGCGATATGGACCGTCGTATTAATTTACAAACAGAATAGAAGTGAGCAGACGAACTAAACTAATTCCAACACAAAATTAGTTCCTTTAACTGAACTCCACGTAGTAAGTAACTAATGTCATGTGCAGACTAAATTCTATCAGTCAAGCTTGCAATGTGGCCACCATGCTAGGTGGCTCATCATCATGGTGCGTTCAGAATTGTAGTTATTAGATAGTTGGAGGCGATCGCCAAGAATCCTTTGATTTAGGTTTAGCGCTAGTTGGCACTCACCAGTCAGCAAGGCGTAACTGCAACCTCTAAGGAACTCATGTCCCCTCTGAGATTCGAACCCGTGTTACCTAGTGAGTACTGCAAGAAGAGACGTTACCAGCGAGCTATTCGCGCTGGCGATTGACCTCCTGACAAGTTTTAACAAGGACGAAACCTAGGTCCAGGGTTTCCTGTCGGTTGCCTCTAACCATATGATAACAACAGTTTACCAGTCATAAATTGAATGATTAATGGGAGAGTAACCATCATTCACACTTAGGTATGATGCTGATTAAATAGTATCAATTAAATTTGCAACGTAGTGATGGTTACCAACAACGAAGCCAGGTGGTAATTTGCCATTGAGATGGAATTTTGATTTGATGTTAATATATTTAGGTCGTATATCAAAATATCTTGATTAAAACATATCATAGGATGAAGAAAAAGAACTAGCTAGTGTGAATAACTGCTAAGGTTTACCACACTAGGAAAATGAGCGAATCTAACATTACGATATGAGCACAACATTCACGTATAAAATATTAGCTAAAATAATCGGACTAGATATTGTTGTTCTATACAAGATCATAAGTTTATTTGATGTAACACACAGTTATACAGTATTATCACCATGTCCTTGAGTGTTTAATCAAATAAGCTTATCTGCTGTTATGAAATTATGTATGTGTCTACGGCAATGTTCAAATCCTACTCTTACGCTAGATATGTTGCATTTTCATCAGAATTAATCACGAACATTTACAGGGGTTTTTTTTGTAGAAGGGGATAAAGGAGAAACCAAACGATACGAAAAAAAGTTATTAACATAAAAACATTTCGATGAAGGAAAAATAGTTGTTGATTGTCCTAATGATTTATTATTATCAATATTATTATTAGTATCATTAAGAACATATGGTGATAACAATGTTTACCATCGAAATAGAATGTTCAATTAACAATGATAAAAGCGTGTAGTATTAAGTGAGCAAGTATAACTACTACTGAATTTACTTGAAACAAAGATTCATTACTGAATTACTAAACCATATCGATTATATATATATATATATATATGATTTTATTCTTTTAGGTTCCCAGTGGAACATAGGGCTACTAGCTAGACCTTTGAAGTTTCAGTAGCAGTGGTGTTTATTTTTACGAGATGGGGTTGCTAGCCTCATGCTCAACCCTCCCTCTGTACCAGTCTTACTACTGGCTTAGCGAGGTAAAGGAGTGTGTTGGTAGGGATCGAACCCCGAGTCACCTACGTGGTTGGCGAGAATCCTACCGCAGTGCCATCGACGCATTCTTTCACTGAATTGATCTCACTTTTGCAGAGAACCTTTACTGAAGGTCATAGACTGGGTGTTGTAAAAGACAATTGTGAGCACCACCAGAAAATGAAGTCCTGGCTATCCATTTTCCTCTATTCTTTGCATTATGAATGGGATACAGGGGTTTTGAGCTTTGAATTTTCAGCAACGGTGGTGTTATTTTTACAGACTGGAGTTTCTAGCCTCATGTCCCAATCGTCTCATTTCTCCGGGCTGTTATTGAATTAGGAGAGGCTGGGAGTCGTACTCAGACCTCCCCCACATGGCTAGCGAGGACTCTACTATTGAATCACCGATGTACAATGGGTAAGTATAGTGTTAAAATATTGAATACTTACGGGCCTCCTCTATCTAGGAAGAATTGGAATGTATGATATATTTTAAAGTATATTCCTGATTGAGTGGGATTCTGGATTGTTTGAAAAGAATTAGGATTTATGATTTACCATCCATTACATAAATAACAAACACATTATTTATGTGGAAAAGGAACTCTGGTGGTGCAGCAAACCGGAGACAAGAACCTATCGCAAGCAAATTATGTAGAAGGAAATAGAGATGGATTACAAACACGCTAAGGACACCGTTGAGTGACTTCACATTTACCAAGAAACCCCTCAATTTGAACCCAATTTGGAGACGACGAGTTGGACGTCGGTGCGAGGGTGAAATGGAGGAGATAGTGTAAGAAGAAAGTGAAGGCTAACGGGAAATCATGGAGCTAACTAAAACAGACCGCAGGGTACAAAGTAAAATGCAGATATGCTACTGATGCGCTATGTTCTCCTGGGAAAATAAGAAAATAATAATCACAACGAATATGTAGCGGTAAATATCAGAAAGAAAATACACACATAAACACAACATAACAGTTACCTTAGCTATTGAAATAGTTTGTTGTTCCATAGCTTCATGAATAGCAACACGATCATCTTCACGCATTTTATCAAATTCATCAATACAAACAACACCGCCATCAGCTAGCACCATAGCTCCACCTTCCATTATAAAGTTACGCTGTAAGTGAAATGAGAAAGATAAGTTGACAGATAGGCAAGCGTTTAACTTGAAGTTGTCTGGTTGTCGGTGACCAGCGGTGGAATCCAGGGTGCGCATTCGTCCTGTTTAGGACTTGTCAGTTGCATAAGCCCGCAATTCTTAGTGAGCGATGATACTACCGCTGAAACTAGAAACCAGTACCTATTGTTTCAAATACCAACGCATTATCCACAAGACCACTTGAGTCGCCTCTTGTACAACCGGCGTCAGCTATTATTTATTCAAATCAATTTTTGTTTACCCCGTTGATTGATGGCACCGAAATGCCTGGTCTCTGTTGATATGTCGGACGATTCGACGATGTTTTGGGATTAATTTGAAGTAAGTTAGGTTAATCCTCATATATCGTTAAGGCCTTCGTCCATACTAAGAGCCAACATGCCACAACAGAGGCAGGAAATTTCGGTTCGATCAATTTTACATAGAAAAAAATTGACTTGGACAAATAATCGATAAACTTAATCCATTTTTACTAAATTACATAACTATAAGCCACTTGAAACCTATTTCCAACTTAGGTGATACTGTTGTGGCTTGTCGACAAAGTCATTTAGTGCATGTAACACATGTGGAAAGCAATAAAAAGAAGTAGTAGACAGCCTAAACACTGGTACACTGCAATATGTATGCGCTAATTTTATATTTTTCTTATGAGTCTAACTGGAAATTATGTGGATACTTTGTAATTTCATGTTTGAGCGCGGATTGACATCATTTAGAAAGTCACCGAAAACCAGACAGTGTACTGGACAGGTAGGCCAAAACGTCTGTCAGACCAAAATTGAAAACAGGGAAATTCTTGCAAACAAAAACTTGAAAATAATCCGATGCTCACTAGTGATTGATTACAGGATGAGTTCACCTGAACTCTTAGTGGGAAGTCGTGATCGATGGGATCCACCAGTTTAGGTGTGGAGACAAATACTCGCTAATTACATTAGCTGGCGATGGTGTTAAAAGTCGCAAATGGATGCAGTGAATGGTCAACAGCCTCACCTTGTAATCTGAAGGTCCTAGTCGGGGGGGGGGTTATGGGTGAGTACTGCTAAAACAGTCAGTCCTTAACTACGACGAAACCAACCAAACCCCTACATACTAATATTTGAAAACCTTATAATTTATTATTCCCTCATAATTCAGTAGTTATGTGGGATAAAAACATATTTTTACCTTGTAACATCTATGGAAAGTTTAGTAAAACACACATAACTACCAGTCAACTTATTGCATCGGTTTCATAGTCAAACGTATATATTTTCAGATACTGAGGTAAAACAAGTGGATTTCGATGATAATTAACCAAAGGGACTTCTACAGTCGTTGTCATAGAAAATCTGTTTGCTTACGCTAGTTTCACTAGGCAGACAGTTACAATCACAATAAAAGTTAAACAATGATATTGGGACAGAATTGTACTCCAAATCAAAGAATTTAGTAACAGTAAGCGAAACTGACTTACAGTATTCGGATCTCGGGTAACAGAAGCTGTGAGACCAGCCGCTGAACTACCCTTGCCAGAAGTATATACACCAATAGGAGAACATCGTTCTACAAATTTTAAAAGCTGTGATTTAGCTGTTCCAGGATCACCCAACATCAACATGTTTATATCACCACGACGCATAAGTCCATCTGGAAGACTAGAAGGAAAAAAAAGTTATAAATGGATTGAAAGATGTTTTACTACCATCAGAATAAATTAAGTCTTGAAAATATGATTAGATCACAACATAAATTCATTTTATTTTTATTTCACGTAATAATCATAATAATACCTTTAATGTTTTTTTCCTTCACGTTCCCAGTGGAACATAGGGCTTCAAGCTAGTGACTTGAAGTTTCTTTAGCAGTGTTTATTTTACAGGATGGGGTTGCTAGCCTCATGCCCGACCTTTCCTCTTTACCAGCATTATTTCTGGCTTAGCGAGGTAAAGGAGTGCGTCTGTGGCCGGAAATCGAACCCCGGACTATGTACACGGTCAGCGAGTGTCCTAACCGCTATACCGCCGACGCACACCTTCGATGTTGGAGACATATAAAGTAGATTACTTCAGAACTGTATCACTTTGAATCAAAATGCAAAACAACTAAACAAAAACATGACATTGTTAAGAATAGAAATTAGTCTTATTGGTTGAGAATGTGGAGAGCTGTTGATAACTGGTCTAGGCACTGTTAAACTTTCTAACCCTAATCTACCTACTGAAGTTTCGACAACTGGGTAGGACAAATAACCCCCCCCCCCCCAATCATATAATAGATGTGGCTCAATGCCAACTGCAAGGGATAACTAAAGCTGAGTTTTCAACGCAGAAATTAGCATGAAAGTACAGTTATTCTAGCTGCCACACTCCACTTGGCCCAAAAAGGTAGAGAGAGAAAGAACAATTGCATGGAGAAACATGAGGACATAATGGACCTAGGAGACTACGATTTTGAGTTGTATCGGCGGCAGTCTTTAGCCATTGGTCCCTAGCATCTGGAAGATGCAGGCCAAAGAGCCTACACCTCTCTGTGTGTCAGTCAACTGCATGAGAATACTAATTAAAGTTGTGTAGAATTATAATACAATGGGACAGGATGTGTACTACTTTTTAGGAACAAACAAGTATGAGATGAGAGAATAGCTAAAATGAAGATTTACAATCCTACACGATAGTTACAAGTTAAAATGAGTGGAACACCACAATTCAACAAAACAGTCTTCGTCTATCACATTTTTCCAGATGCTGAATAAATGAAATACAATTGACGTTTTGAAAACTAAACGAAATCAATTCTTTCATATTCCAATACAAACACATTCATCAACCTGAAACCAATCTCGAAATCTTCGTCACTCAACTCAGTCACAACAACAAAATCCAGTCGGATCTTCAATACAAACGTCAAGTCGGTCAGCTCTTCTATACGGATCAGACACTTGGAGGGTCACAAAGAATATTTCCAACAGCCTGTTGCAAATCTTTATCAACAACTGTCTTCGCTGGCTCTATACTGAAGATCAGATGGTCAGGTCGGAAAGAATCACCAACAAGAAACTATGGGAACAAACAAAACAAGAACCAATCTCCAACCAACAAATATGCAGGAGAAAGTGGAGATGAATTGGACACTCGTTGAGAAGGCCACTGGGTGACATCGCGCGCCAGGCCATCGCTCAAGTGGAACCCGAAAGGAAAGCGGCGAGTGGGACGTCCAAGGGTGACATGGAGGAGATCATGTGAAGAGGAGTTGAAAGATTATGGACTAACATGGATGCAGGTGAAAAGTAGAGCAGGAGACAGAAGTGGCAAGTGGAGACGTGCAGTTGAAGCCCTATGTTCCACTAGGAACCCAAGGGAGCAACAATAATAATAATATTCCAACTTCATTTTTATGATTATATTGTTAAATAACAGGAAACTATTGAAATAACGGAGACTAACCATATATAGAAAGCCTTATACAAAAAGTTAACTTCCTATAAGTCGAAACAACAGAAGGAAAAAAACATGAAGAAAGTGTGAATAAAACGGTATAACACTAATACAATTGTTTACACACCCTAATATCATCACGATATACGGTTTAATATTGAAAATTTGATATAACCATAGTTCACCGTAAGAAACAAAACGTACGTCAGTCATAGTAGAAAAAGGGGGGCACAATGGAGATGTGGTTCATTGGCTTAAGCACTCGGTTTTCAGCAGATGGGTCACGGGTTTGAGGCCCACCCACCTACTTCAGCTTGTGCAAATGGTTAGTATCACCAGCCCTCATATAATTAGTGTGGCTCTTAGTTTGGTACACGGAAAAATCTATCCTCCGCCTAGACAAACAAAGAGGGACAGAAAGTTATATAACTGATGGAAGGTTTATGAGAATGTTTAGAATCCTGGTGACAAAAATTGACTGCATCAAGAACATCAAGATAAATTTTAGATCATATCACTAAGAATCTTCAACCACTGATCGGCAACACCTCTAGGACATCAATCAGTCAGCTTACATGGTTTAAATCGGTAATCAATAGTTTCAATGATTGGCATCACAGCCCGGTCTGGTTATATTATCACAGAGATTTGACTTACTGAGTATCTGAGTTTCAATATAGAACACTGCACCGAAGTGCAACACAGTTCAACTTGCTATACCTCATGTAGTACAGAAAGGACAGAAAAAAAAGATTCAATGGAACTATAACGAGGAGGGAGAAAGAATAGTAACATGGAAAAACATGGGGATTTAATGGATCCAAGAGATCACACAGTGAATGAACCTGCACGACTAAAGATCCAATAGTCTCTAGCCATTGGTTCTTAGCATTCCGAAAAGCCCAACTAGGCAGTCAACACCTCCCTACGCAGTTAGCTCAAGCCAAGTGTCAAAGACTTTATAGACTGATGACAGGTTTTGATTTGACCACCTATAATTCTTGTACAGCCTAATCCTATGTCGGCTAACATTGCTCTTTGAGGAAGGTAATGGATGGGTCGAGATGCGCGACACGTGTCCTAGGTATCTCAACCATTTCAGCTCCAAAACCTCAGCAACTGACTTACACTCGTCGCCTAACTTCAATATTACTCACTGTATTATACTACCCAAACTACTTTACAACCTGGGATTAATATTCTCAAGCTCTACAAAATAAGTGTGACTTACGGTCTGGTACATAAAAGAATCTGTACCGAGGAACTGACTTTTGATTTATTTTAATTAAGTCGAGAAATTCGTTGTTTTGTTTTCTGAGCATAACAACAAGGACAATTTCTAAAAAGATATACTAAAATATGCTGACAGTACAAAAATACACAACCGACAGAATTAAATAAGGCAAAGGAGATTAAGCTTACACCAGCCACATCTTTCTAACCTTTTTTTATACAGAGAAGCGCACACTTCAATTTCTATAAGTAACGAGGCTATTTACAAACACACACACACACACACTTTACACTGAATACTTGATAGGGATGGTTAACTGATCGAGAAGACTTCTGGCTCAGGTGGGTGACTTTGATGTAGTTGTGTTCTCTAAGCTGGATAGTTTATTTGCAAAGCTTTTATTGCCCCAACACTAGGCAACCTCTTCAGTGCATACTTCAATTTGAAGTGAGCTTTTAGATTTCTCCACAAGTTTATTAGTCATCTCTCCTGGTGACCTTGAAAGTGATTGCTCGTTTTTGTGTTTTCACACCTTCTAGGCTACTTGTATTGGAACTGATTGTTTCCTTGTCTTGAACTTTGACCCTTTGTGTATGAGATGGTTAGGACATGTGTTACGTATGCCTAGTCATCGCCTTCCTCGACGAGCAATGTTAGCGGATATAGGGTCAGGCTGGAAAAAAGCTAGCGGAGGTCAAACAAAAACATGGCCTCGCCAGTCAATGAAATCTACAACAGTTAGTCTAAGCCACGTAGGAAGGTATAGACTTCCTGGTTGGGGTCCTCGGGACTGTAAAAACCAATGGTTGGAAACAATTGGTGAGATGGCTCAAAATCTTTCTCAGTGGCTGGCTGGTGCAGATGCATCCACTCCTTGTGACTTATGATTTCCAATGAAACTGTTTTGTTCTTCGTTATTACTCTTCCTTTGTCTCACACCTATGTTTACTGTCTCTATTATGCATTTCTTGTACTTTCTTCTGTTGCTTTGTGTGCTACATGGAGTGTGCCGACTTGAACTGCCGCACATCGGTGCAAAGTTCTATGTCGAAAACAGACAGACAGACAGACTTATCGGTTGATAAATTTTGTCTATCTCGATGTGTCTACTGATTGATGATTCACTGGAATAACAGGCAGGCTTCTAAAAATTCTCTAACATTCTTGTTGTTTCCTCTGTCTAAAATTTGGACGTTGTCCCAGTCGAATTGATGTCCGTGGTTGTCTGTATGTAGTGATATGAGGGAGTGGATATCATGTCTTTTGACGGCTAGCTTATGTTCGTGGATACGAAGACAAAGGGGACGTTCACTTTGGCCAATGTTGTGTTTTTCGCAGTTGTTACAATTTATTTTGTAGATGATGTTGGTTTTACCTACTTTCGTTCTTGAGTCTTTTGGTTGACATAGAGGCAACTGAGTGAAGTGATTTTGTTGGTTTGTGTGCGACGTCAATTCCTAGAGGTTAGAAGAGCCTTTCAGTGATTTCTGAGATGTCCTTTATATATGGTGGGACGATTCTCTTTGTACTTTTCTTGGGGGCCTTTGATCAAATCAAATCACTACTTATACAATGACTATGAATGAAATTAAAAGTTATTCAGAAGTGTTTGATTTAATTGAAGTTATATAACTCAACAGAATGGTATACATAGAGTAAAATAAATAACACTTGAATGTAGTCAAATCTAGACATACCGTTTACGTGATCCTCCAAATAAAAGGCAAGCGATAGCTTTTTTTATATCAGCACTACCGTATATAGATGGAGCGATACTTCGAGCCAATCTGTCATAAATGTTTGGTGAGTTGGCTAAAGAAATCAATTCTTCTTCTTGGTTTTCTGTTAAAGTTGCAGATGCACCTGTTGCATCTGTACCACCAGATACTAATGCACTACGTCCAGGACCTTCTGTATCAATGGATAGTCCTAAGACACGTATGTATGGTTGACGAACACCAGCATTTGATCGTTCATTTGCACCTGGACGCTATACAAGAAGATAAAATAAAATATGTTACCAGATAAACTCAAATAAATAAGACAAAAATAGAATGACCGTTTGTTGTATTTGATTTCAGTTGTGTTTATATAGCCTTAAGGATGAGAGTTGACTGATTTATTTCAGCAGTTTCACAAAGTCTCAAATAATACCTTCGACGTTAGATTTTTCAATAGGGTCAGCACGAAACCTTAAATCTTGATGATGATGATAGTTATCTGAGGAATATCAAGAAGGCATACTCCTCTTTGTGATTTGGACCCAGTGAACCTTTCGGATGGTGAATGATCTTTCTCACGATCATTACATTTAAAAGAGTATATTTCGTCTCCTCTTTTAACGAGAATACCTTATTCATAAAGTCGAAAAAACTATCATATCCTTTTTCGAAGGATGGACGAAAACTATGCCGACACCATAGACGACCTGGTACATCCGAAGGTGGGTATAAGTCTTCCGCACGAAATGCTTTCACATGACCACACGTCACTGCTAAGTAAGGTCGGGGTGGCCGAGCGGTCTAAGGCGTCAGATTCCAGAGTAATCTTCTAGGTGTTCTGGTACACGATGTGGGCGCGGGTTCGAATCCCACCTCGGACACACTGACAAGTAAGCCCTATTCACTGCCTTGACGGAGCGGGAGTATTCCTCACAAAAGTAAAGGCGTGATTTCGAAAGTCTGGCGCTCACGAAAAGACTGATGGACATTCTGGTCCACCTAGTAGATTTAGAAAATCCTGATTACAAACCTAGGTGTACATTAACTCCAGAATCCGAACGGATCAAATGGTGTATGAATCTGTTTTGATCATCATCAACCATGGGAACAGAGTTCCTGATGCTGTTCCACTGCCTTGTGGATCAGGTATCAAGTCAAAGGCACAAGGAGTGATCGCTTAAAACAACCACTTTCACTCTGGGAATCTAGGCAGTGTCCGAGATCTTTCACAAACTATGAGACTTTGTGTAGCGTACCTCTTCGTGCTTATAGTGTACTAAGTTTGTGTTTCAATAATAATATATATAATCTTCATTACCTTCTTCTTTACTATAATATGATCAGTGCTAGAATATTTTTCACTAAATGACAAGAGATGTATATCTAAGTTTTGCAGTTGACAGAATGGAGGAAGCTTAACTTCCTACTTATTATGCCATAACAACTTATATCATTTATGCTATTGTTTGAATGTCCGACAGTCTATAAAAAGAGCAATAGGAGCAGAGATATTTGAAGTTTAGCTCAAGGTTGAAATATAATCCACTAGGGACAAACGGAGATATATGAACAATTTTACAAGATATCAAAAGGGGTGCCCCCTACGAGATTATTGCAATGTCATTTGATGATCACTTCCAGTTTTCAACCTACTTCTATCGAGTTAATACCATTGTAGACAACCTTTGTGCTATGGTTATCTTTGAGTTCACGTGAGTGCTGCAGTGCTCTGTATTGTAAGCACCAAGAAATGCACTGAATTCATGGAACTGTATACAAATTTATGTAACAGACTTTGAGTAACATCAAGGTTACAGGTACCATCAGATTTTTGAAAGTGAAGTAGATTGAAAAGACTTAAAATATATGTGATTTAGTGATTAAAAGTCTTACATTGAAGCTAGTGAGTTACACGATTACTGAGACAATCAGTCTTCAATGTACTACAAGATTTTCAAAATGACAGTCTACATTGATCTTTGAAGCATTAACAAAATATCACAATTTTCCTTGAAATTGTGTCAGAACAACATTCAGAAGAATATAAGATATCACTTTTTTGTTTCATATAAAAATACTAAAATAGACCCAAAGTTTGTATTCAAACTCCATTCGAAACCCACAGTACTCCAGTGATTCTTTGTTGAAGCGCTTCTGAGTAATGGATTAGAATAATCTTTTACATGTTAATTTAATAATGCACTTAATAATTAATTTATATCTTTTGTATTCACAAAAGTATAAGAATATCTGTGAACCAACATACCAAATAAATATTTATTCTACAAAAAGCATTCAGCTTTGTATTTAATATTTGTGTATTAAGTGAGATATATAGGATATATATGGGATGAGTAGATCTGTGATTCAGTGGTCTGAGCTGATGACTTTCAACCAAATGGCCACGGGTTCGAACCCAGCCCCGCTTACAGAGGGCTGGGCAGCCGAGCGATACTACTAGCCCCCACACAGTGTGTGGCTCATTATCAACTGCATGGGTATGAAAGTGGTTGTTGAGTAGGGCTGATGTAGAATATTATTTCATAGATTTACAATTTGTACAAAACTAGGAAACTTACCTTATTGGCAACGGTGACACGGATGCAATATACACCAACTACTGTAACACGATTCCCAGGAACTACTTGCTCGCAAAGATATCTGTAAGAAAAATTTGTTGTGACAGAAAAACATGCACAGGTGACAGATGTTTCAAAATGATGTAGTCATGTAAATCACTGAAAGGTGACTCACGTGGAAATGTGTCCTAAAATAAATGTTTAGTTAATACGCAGAACGCTGAAGGTAGATGGAAGTTCTACTTAGTCTGTGATAGCCTTTATGATATTACTGTTGTTCCCCACTAAGATGACTTTCCAAAATCTCTTTTTTCAAATAATTACTACTAACTAAAAATAAAGCACCATTTCCCTAATTTAGGCGGGTTAACGAAAACCTCTCCAACAGCGTTTCCGGTTACTGATTTATTACATTTGGATGTTACAATGGGATTCATTGATATTTATATCCTTCACAATTAGTAGGTTAGTAGGAGTTCTTTGTCTTTTTAAAATTTTGAACTTTTTTGTTTATCCCAGGGATCCAGTTAGAAAGCTTTGAGAAAATACTGATAAAAATCCTGGTATTATTTCAGTGGTCGAAATTGCCGCATTACATGCATGAAATACAAGTAAAAGAAATGATAGAAATATGCTCAGATGTCGCAGTGTTGAGACAAAAGAATAAAAGGTTAAGCGTAAACATATTTTTTCATGATGCACTTGTTAGAAGTCCATGGGGAACGTGGAACTGTAATTACACTCAGCCCCTTAAGTAGCACAACTCCGCTGTTAGACCATGCTTCGGTGAAAGTAACTTAGTGAAAACAAGTATACAAGCGACCTTCATGAGACTGTGTATGTTCTGAGTATAGCCGTTTATGGTTGGTACGATTCATCGTGATATGCAGCTCAGATGACAGTTATCAATCGAGACAGGTTCACAGACAATAATCCATTTAGAACTACAACAGAAACCTGAGTTCACCTACATTTTAAAGCTTAACATATCTCAGCCAATCATTGGGTTTAGTACTGGAATCTAAACTTACACAAATTCAACTGGAACTCTGGTACAGGGAAACATCTATTCTAGGTAAATGGGTTACTTTAAGCAAACGTAACTGTCGTCTTTAAATTGCAGTTCGAGAGCTTTTAATCTACCAGCTCTTTACAGAGAACTATGGCTTACCGAAGTATTGCGGTTCGCAACTACTCTTCTTCTAGAACCGAACTTAAATGAGGTTGTACAGTATCGGTGGAGAGTGATTCTTTCCCAGAATTTCTATGAATTTATGAGGCGAATTTAAGGTATCACAGCCAAAGTCAAGGTCTGTCAAAAGTTGATCTTCGAGCACCAACCAAACACAAGAATGCTATGAAATGTCATCCCTAATCAAATCATGACTGCCTCTTTGGACTTGGGGAAGGCAGTACATAGTATTTTACTTATCTTCTAAGTACTTTTTCTGTGAACCTATGCGGTTAGGTAGCGTTTTGACTTTTGTGTTAAGGTTAGGAATAGGATTAAACTTACGATTAGGAGTTAAGATTACGGTCAGAGTTAGGGGTAGGTTAAAGAACAGTGTTAGAAGTATCAACAGATCTCAGTGCCGTGATCTACAGTCACCCGGACGAATACATCTATCGCGCATAGTATGATTTTTCTGAAGATTATCTGTGTGATGTGGTGAATCATCACCGGGGTTCTCGGATGTCCATAAGTGAGCAGTTTAATAACCACAATCCCACTAGTAAATAAAGCGTTGAATATATTTACGGATTACTTCAAGAGTGTATGTTGTTTGACAAGCGTAGATTAGTGGTGTCGAGCAATCAAATGCACAACTGGCACATGTTGCCGCAACTGGGTTAAGAGTACGTTTTCTCCTGGGAATGTAGAGCCCACAAGCATAACGCATTTCATCTTACACACGTAAACGTAAGTTGGTACGAAATAAGAGAACTGAGTGATATCACAATAGGAGTATTTTCAATCACAGGACATTTCCATAACTCATCATCAAAAACTAACTCGCCAACATTTCTAGAACCTCAGTCAAGCATACTAAACTTAACATAAGTTTTAGAAAATTAGGGAAGACGCTATGTTTTAGCATAACCACCTTTACACGTTTTTCAACCCCTTTCTCCTTCAACTAATAGTGCTACTGAGTGATAGTATGATACTCTTAGGTTAAAAGTTGAGTAAATCTATTAGGCTAAAGTGACCATAGACTAAATTTTGAGCACAAAATATTAGGAAACTTAGATAATAATCAAGAAAGGAATTACCTGTCACAATATAAAAGAACGTGGCGAGGCATCTCCCCATGAGGAACAGTTTCCGGTGTTTCTTGAAGCTTAATCGTCTGGAAGTCAACACAATGACATTTATCAGGAACAATAAAAAAGGGATCAATCGGACATCTGGCAACCTGAGGTCCGCCAGGTTGAGTGCTTGGACACTTCCGTGGTAAAGCGAAACCTTCTAATCCTGGCTTCACAGGGAGATTAGGCAGGAACTGCCGACAACCACGACACTGCAAACTGAGACGGATGGCCTGAATAATTAGGGATACATACAAAAACACTTACTTTGGCCCTGATACTTGACGAGCTGATGGCAATACCTGAGATCTTAACCAGCTTTGAAACCTGTTCAGAATGCACATCTCTGAGGCTGACAGCATTAGTGTCCCATTCAAACAACACCTGAGCAGGCTCCACATAGCTCTCCTGGTCACTTGAGCGTACAAGTTCGGTCGCAACTTCGGTTACAGCCTCTTCAAACTGAACAGAAAAAGATACATTTAGCAAAAGAAATTATACATACAGCTGGTAGGTATTCACCAGGATGGTGAGTCAGTTCTTGCGTGAGTGAAGAGTCGTAGTTGTTGAGGTCTTTCAGCTTAACAACAATAAAGGACTTTTTTAATCCGTAGTTTTTTTTAATTTGATCTCTGGACCCATGTTAACAAAATTCAGACTGAATACCTGTATTTAAAATCAAAGCCACCATCATTGAACTGACGTATAAAATCTTTGAATTTCCGCTTGGCAAACTGTAAATTTGCTAAGTTATCTTGATCGGCGGTGTGCTGAAAAAGCGAGTCAGAGTAATACACCGCTCCTTGGTCAAAACCTGACATCTTCTAAAAATTCAAACGTGTCGGGGAGTTTGTTTAACCTACATTCCGGTGAGCTTAAACAAGTTACGAATAAACAATCCAACCGACATCAAAGAAAGCTGAAGAATCATACACAGTTTTGGTCCTGAACATGCAAAACACAAATTTATTTTGTTTACATGCCCGTAGATAGGCGGCAATGACAGTATCAGTTTGATGGAATGGATATGCGAAATCAATGAATTTTATTATCTACCGACCTACGATTTCCGCCGACTGGTCTTTCAAATGCCTTTTGATAAGAGATGTAGCCTGAACCATCTTTTTAAGTGGTCATTTCATGCTTATTCGAGTCGCCACTGTGTATATCAACGAATTACCTGTGGTCATCTAACCTCTCAAAGTTCCATACGTCGATGAACTGCGAGTCAGGAGGAGGTTTTGAGAGGAGAGCAATGCTCCACACTGCGAACAGATCGTTAGAATCACACGGGCTTGTCAAAGATTGCATTTTCCATTCTCACATGCATGGACACAACCACGACCACCAGCACGTATACGTTAGCTTACGCGTTATGGAGAGAAAAATTCCTAATCAGTCTACCTAGGTCTCACAGTAGGTCACAATCTGAAAACCCTGAAACACTCTCAATAGGTCGTGGCTCTCAGCCTTAAGATATTTTCATCAATGCTCGGAAATTTCACTAGGATCATCGCTTATATGCTCATCTTTCTCAAGGACTAAAATATAAAGATGCGTTAAAGAAGACAGTCCTTTCCAAAATTTAGTAAACATGCAAGGAAGAGTTAAAAGGATGGAGGTGCTTATGACAAACAATGTGACAGATCTATAGCATTAATGATAGACGAAACGAATCCATGCCTTTCCCACGGAAATTACACAAAAGCGCTCAGAGTTCGTCGTAATTTACAACCAATCGAGGGCAATCTTGACCACCGGTAGCATAGCGTTGCGTGATTTTCTGTTAGCCTTTACACTTAGTTCTAAAAACTTGAATTTTGGTGTCTGAGAACTAAAAGTGATCGACAAACAGAGTACCTGTGAACCAGATTCGTAATTTCCAAACGATTTCGTCATTATTATTGCTCCCTTGGGTTCCTAGTGGAACATAGGGCTTCAACTGCACGTCTCCACTTGACTTCTGTCTCCTGCTCTACTTTTCACCTGCATCCATGTTAGTCCATATCTTTCAACTCCTCTTCACACGATCTCCTCCATGTCACCCTTGGACGTCCCACTCGCCGCTTCCCTTTCGGGTTCCACTTGAGCGATGGCTGGCGCGCGATGTCACCCAGTGGCCTTCTCAGCGAGTGTCCGATCCATCTCCACTTTCTCCTGCATATTTGTTGGTTGGAGATTGGTTCTTGCTTTTTTTGTTCCCATAGTTTCTTGTTGGTGATTCTTTCCGGGCCATCTGATCTTCAGTATAGAGCGAAGACAGTTGTTGATAAAGGTCTGCAACAGGCTGTTGGAAATATTCTTTGTGACCCTCCAAGTTTCTGATCCGTATAGAAGAACTGACGACTTGACGTTTGTATTGAAAATCCGACTATTTGTTGTTGTGACTGGTGAGTGACGAAGATTTCGAGATTGATTTCAGGTTGATGAATGTGTTTCTCGCCTTCCCGATTCTCTCGATTTGACATCCTCGTCCGTTCCGACCGCCGTAGTTGAGACAATGCTCCCTAGATAAGTGAATGAAGTAACCTCTTTCAAATCCCTCCCGTTGATGGTGATTGACGCTGGATGTTGTGCTGTTGTTGTTGGTTGGTTATTTTCATAACCTCCGTCTTGTCTATGTTCACCTGGAGTCCTGTCTTCTCCGGCTGCTTCTTCGACCAGTTTGTCGGTTTTCGCTTGTAAGTCTTCGATTGTGTGTGACATCAAACATAAATCATCCGCGAAATCCAGGTCTTCTAGGTTCTTCACGTCGGTCCAGGATATTCCTGTCTTCTCGTTTCCCACAGTCTGACGCATAATCCAGTCAGTCCACAATTAGGAATATCATTGGTGATAATAAGCAGCCTTGTCTGACTCCTGTGTTTACTCCAAACGCCTCGCTGAGTTTTCCGTTGTGGATCACTTGACATGTGCCGTTGTCGTACAGCTGTTGAATAAGGTTGATGAATATTTGGGGTACGCCATAGTACTCGAGTAATTTCCAAATTACTTCACGGTCAACGCTGTCGAAGGCCTTCTCAAAGTCTATAAAGTTGAGGTAGAGGTTTGATTGCCATTCCATGCTTTGTTCTGTGATGATGATGCGTAGAGTTGCAATTTGGTCAGTACATGATTTGCCTTTCCTGAATCCAGCTTGTTCTGGTCGGAGTTCTGTCTCCAGTGCGTCCTTTAATCTCTCCAGGATGATGCGACTCAGGATTTTACTTGGCGTCGATAGGAGCATGATTCCTCGCCAGTTCTTGCAGAGTGGGCCTAAGTCGCCCTTCTTTGGTAGTTTCACGAGGTAACCTTTCCTCCAGTCAGTAGGCACCTTTCCCTCCTTCCAGACCTTTTGCAATAATGGAGTCAGCATGTCTGCTGTAGTCTCTGGGTCCGCTTTCAGTGCTTCAGGGGGTATTCCATCTGGTCCGGCTGCTTTTCCAGCTTTCAGAAGCTTGATTGCATTCAAGACTTCAGCTCTCGTTGGAGGATTGGTGTCAACTTGCAGTTGTGTGCGCGCTGTTGTTGGTATTTCTGGACGGGTTGCAGGTGATGGTCGGTTCAAGAGTCCTTTGAAGTGATCCGCCCATTGTTTAATCTGTTTTTCTTCCTTGGTAATGGGTTCCCTTGGCTGTCTTTTATAGGTTTCGCTTGTGTTGATCTCTTCCCGGATAGAGATTTGGTTATCTGATATAGTGTCCTCAGGTCCCTTTTGCCTGCTGCCTTCTCAGCTTCAGTGGCCAGGGTCGTAGAATCGTCTTTTGTCCTTCCTAGCACTCTTCTTCACTTCTTTGTCCAATGCTTGTAAGTTGAGCTCAGGGTCTTCTTCTCCTGTCCGTCCTTGCATTGAATCATTTTCTCTTTCACCATTCTCCTCTCTTCTATTAATTTCCAAGTGTCCGTTGAGAGCCATTCCTAGTCCGGTCCCTTGTACTAGATAGTGGTCTGAACCCACACCTGCTCCTCTCCTCGACCTTGTGTCCAGTAGGCTCCGTCTCCACTTTCTTGAAATTGAGATGAAGTCTATTTGGTTTTTGGTGTTTCCACCTGGTGAAATCTATGTCGTCTTGTGTATATCCTTCTGTTTAAACACACTACCACCAATCACCAAATCATTGAAGGCGCAGAAGTCTGAGGAGAATTCACCATTGTCGTTCATTTCACCGAGGGCCTCACGACCCATGGTGAGTTCTCTTCATGTGTTGTCTCCTCCCAGATTCTCATTCATATCACTCATCAGGATTTCGATATCGCCATTTGGGACGTTGTCCATTATTGCTTGTAGTTGTCTGTAGAACGCCTCCTTCTTCTCTTGTTCTGAGACGTTTGTAGGCGCATAACATTGAATGACTGTAACTTTCCTTCCTTTTGAGTTGAACCTGGCTGTCATTATCCTGGAGGAGATTGGTTCCCACTGCATGAGAGCTTTGGTTGGTGTTGGTGACATCATGATGGCCACTCCCTCGGTGTGCTCGTGGTTGTCCTCTAGGTGGCCGGAATAGATTATTGTCTCTCCAGTTGGTTGCTGGCACCTACCACATACATTCCATCTGCTCTCGCAGATTCTCAACACTTCTGTTCTATATCTCCTCATTTCAGCGGCTACCTGGACAGCCTTTCCAGTTTCGTACATTGTACGAAGATTCCACGTACCCATCCTTATTTCTGCTTTCATCGAAAGAAGGCACATCGGCTGACAGGCTTCCCAAAGGCTTTCACCAGTCTGCGTCATTTCACTCCCCCGATTCCAGCGAAAAGTAAGGCTATTGATTATGTTTTTAGAATTTTTAATATATTTATTCGTTGAAGTTTCAGTAGCGATTTGGTTGTTTTACAGGGGTGGAGTTGCTAGCACCACGCCCAAACCCTCCCTCTCTACCGGGCTTGGGACCGGCTAGGAAACCAGCAAGCTAGTAATCTGGCGAGGTTCAAACGATTTCGTAATTTAACAAATCATTTCACAGTTCACATAGTTCCGATATCCAAAATCGTTTATACAAGCTAGCGTGAGCCAAATAGATTTCTCTGTGTATGATTCTTGGTTGTGAGGTGGATTTTCATGGTCTTGGGCAGACTTCTGTGTATACGGTCCTGCCAATCGACTGTTATAGCTTTGGCTGATTCCGAAAGGAGGCGTGCTGAGATTGATCATAGGTGGTTCGGAGTATGCGGTGTGTTTAGATCGTCTCGCTGCTGAGCGTGCAGTTGATCCTTTCACTCTTTAGTCATCTGGTATGGTCAAGAGAGATAATAATAATAACAAATAAGATTAGTGTAGATACTGTAAACTTGAAAACGTACTAAGGATAGCTAATGAAATTCGAAGTTTGTATGTATATATATCAATAATAATACAGTAGTCGGAAGATTAACACGTAGGGGGATTGGAGGTAATAAAGGGATGATTAATAATGTATGCGTTTTAAGGGGATAGGTCGTTCTGTTGGAGTTCTTGTGTCACTGCATCATTGTCCAATTTCGGCTTGAGGCTATCCACGGACGGTAATATGCTTCGTTAAAGTTAGTGGAAAGCACCGATATAAGTACAAACGCCTAAAATAATGTTCATATCCGGAAGTGTAATACGTTTAAGAGGCTGACGGTAGAGACGTTCGCGAATTGTACGGAATATATCAACTCAAGATCTTATAGCACCAACTTCTATATTATTTGTTTCTCGTGTACCAAAGGCAAAGCAAAACGCCACAATTAATTGTCCAAATTACGAGATATATTTCGGAACCAAATCGCGGATCGACGCGGAAGCTAAGCTGGCTAGTTATCATGAACGAAAGCGACACGACGGAGTACCAAATGGCGTGGATGCTTAACCGGAAGC